TATATATATATATATATATATATATATATATTGTTGTTGTTGTAACTATTTGTATTCTCAAAACTCACGTCGCATAAGGCTCGTAAAGCTATTGAACTAGTACCTATCATCAAACACTTTATATATAAAGTGGTGTGTGAAAGGAAGTTACTCCATTCGTTCAGAAATGTTTGTCCTATTGTGTTTATCGAAAGTTAATTTGATTAATTTTCAAAGTAAATTAGATTACATTAATTTAATATTTTAAACATCCGTCCAGAAATGTTTGTCATGTTGCGCTTATCAAAAGTTAATTTGACTAATTTCCAAAGGTAAATTAGATCACATTAATTTAATATTTTAAACAAAAAAATTAGATATTCTAAAACTATATGAAAAGTACTATAAATTATAATTTTTTGCATATTAATATGATGAAAAAATTCATCTTAAAATGTTAGTCAAATTTTTTATAATTTAACTCTAAAAATAGAAATTATTATAAATAATATCGAACGGAGGATGTTATTTTTCTTTTCATTTTAACTAAAGAAGTAGACCCAACATTAACTTTCTTCTACATGAGTTGCTTTGCTTTTTTCACTTTAGCAAACCAAACAAGAAAAGGAGAACTTCTCAAACCTCCCTTTTTTCTTTCCTTTATATGTATACTTCTCAAATAAAGAAAACCCCACCACCAAGGACGGCCAGTGGTAAAAACTTATTCATCTTTAATTAAAATTATCGATTAATTGAGTTTCTTTAGCTATAGAGTCACCTTTGTTAATAAGTGCTTTATTTTCAATGTGAGATTTCTTTATGCGAATCTAAATTTAATCAGACTTAAACGATTATCAAACACCAATAGTAAGAATCAAAAAAGAACATAAAACTTAGTACAATTATTTCTTTAACATAACAAAGACTAACATAGTAACACCTAGATGAGCTTCAACCCCACCAAAAAATCTTATTTCTCAGTTTAAAAAAAATGACCTAGTTTAACTTAAAATGAAGTTTAAGAAAAGAAAGAAGATTTTTTTAATCTTGTGGTTTTAATTTAAAATTATATCAAATATAACAAAATACTCTTTAATCTTATAATTTTAAATATGCTACGTAGAATATTAAAATTTTAAAATATTACAAAAAAAATTCATTCTTTTTAAACATACTTAAAAAAAAAAAAAAGATCACTGAAGAAGTAATCCTTTTTGTTTCCCACTTAAATTATGAGAAAAAGTAATTGAAGTTTAAAAATTGGGACTATGAAATGTAAATTAATTATTGAAAAAGAAAAAGAAGGCGCCAAAAAGATGTCTTATCAGGAGAAATTACTTTTAATTTGTTAGACCAAAATCTGTAGAGACTTCCAGCTTTGGGACCCTCACGCACCCAGGTCGCAGCCTCTCATTCCCCGCTTCAAAAATTATATTCTTTCGTTGTCGAATTTTAATTTGATACGAAATTTTAAGTTATATTTAATTAAAAAGAATGTTACATCGAATGTAATTACAATTAAATTTTAACTTATTTTCCCCTTGATTATGATAAGTGAAACAATAAGACAAAAATTAAATAAAATGAATTATCTTTAGTGATGATACTCAATTTTTTAAAAAAAATAACACTTCTGGTAAGGAAATTTAATATTTATATAGTATATGTATATCCTTTTTTAAATTTATTTATAATATAATTTTTTCATAAAAAACTATTGATTAACACTTTTGGAAGGTTGATTTTGTTTGATAAAGATATATTGCGTCTAACTCAATCTAAAAGATTAGCTCAAAACGTGAAAAATTATTCAATATATTAAAAAGAAATCAAATATACTAAATCGACACATATGAAACTAAACACTCTACTGTATACATGACTAGAACTAGACATCTGAAACATGAACAATATAAGTTGATGGTCAATGACTATCTATTTATACGCGTGTATATATATATATATATATATATTAAAAGACCTATAATAAAATAAAAGTCTGATACCTTTGATTAGCATATATTTCCCTTTAGCATGCATAAAAATCCATCACATTTTTATTCTCTCACCTGCCTCCCCCTTTCCATTCCTACTCTTTTTTTCTCTCTAGAATTATTTTGCCTTGTTAAATACTCTTTTTATTGTTTCTTTTTCTCTACTATATATACACACCAACACTTGACTTTGTACACTACAATTAGCTACTACTCCAACATATCATATAATGAAGGAGTGTGGTAAAAATAGTAGCTCACCATGTGCAGCTTGCAAGTTATTGAGAAGAAGATGTGGTCATGACTGTGTTTTTTCACCTTATTTCCCTGCTGATGAACCTCACAAGTTTGCTAATGTTCATAAGGTCTTTGGTGCTAGTAATGTCAGCAAAATGTTACAGGTTCCACTTTTTTATTTATCTCTTCTTTTATCTTCTTCAATTCGAACACCTTAATTTTCTATGTGACTTATAGTTCGAGCTGTGGAATCAGTCATTGATGTTTGTGTCTGTGACTTATAGTTCGAGCTGTGGAATCGGTCATTGATGTTTGTGTTTGTGACTTATAGTTCGAGCTGTGGAATCAGTCATTGATGTTTGTGTTTGTGACTTATAGTACGAGCTGTGAAATCAGTCATTGATGTTTGTATCATGATAGCTAGATTGCTTATATCACCCCCTTGAGGTTCCTTGATCCTGAAAGAACACGAGATATTTAGTACACTGGATTGTTACGTTGAGTATTCAACATGAGATGGATCTAGAGATCATTAGCTTATTTAATTAAATAAAAATATTGGAGATGGAAGTTATACATGCACTTGGTCTGAACATATACTATAATAGAGAGGAGATAATGTATTTTAACATGTCACATGCAATAAAATCCAAAAAGTTAGAGTAAATATAATTAGCACAATAAACAAGTACGTATGATAAATATATAATCGATTAAATTAAGTAACCTAAATAATGGAGTATAAAAAGTTATAACCATATTTGTCCTCTTTCTATTGATCAAATGTGTCAAACATTCACATAATTAAGGAAAAATGTGTATACTACGTACTAAATTATTGGTTAAGTATTTAAATTTTCACTTTGATCCATAGACCACAATACTTTGCTACAAATCCAACATTAATCAATTTGATTAAAAAAGTCATTTATTTATGTTAATAAATTTATTTAATACGTATAAATAATTTATTCAAAATTCTTAGCAACGTTATCTTTATTATGACATAAGTTGTAGGGTCGATAGAGGGGAACAAAGAGACGTTTGTTAGTTGTTGAAAAACCGTTTCATTTGTTAAATGTGGAAAAAGTTTTAAGTAGTCTATTTTTATTGTCCCACATAAAATCTTAGAGAATATTGAATTTAAAATTTTCACAATCGAACAACGATTTTCAGATAAAGTGAGACACTTTCTCGTTTTGAATGGGTCCTTAATTTGGAGCCATAATCTCCATTCCTCCATGTCCAATTGTTTTTCTTTCTACGTACGCAATTTTATTTATTTTCTTAATATTTGAAAGTCAACTAATTTATTCAATATAAATATGGTCACCTATCACAATATATATACTTTTTTATAACTAAAATCTTAAGTGGACACATGATGTTTTTTCCTACCGTCATTTTTCATAAAATTTCTAGGGTTGTTAAATGGTCTCCTATTTTAAAATTTTGAAGGACAAAAGAATCAACTTACTTCAAGAAAATGAACACACTAATTCTTTTGACCACATATATATATACATATTTTTGATAGTAACATATCACCTCTTAGCCATAATTAAAGACTTCTTTGATTTGACCTAAAAAAAAGGTGATTTCTCTTTATCTTTTTCCTTTTTCTCCTTTTTTTTTCAACTAACACTCCTTTTTAGTTATTTTCATTTTTATGACACAAAAATGATGTCAATATGACACAGTCTTTGAACATACCTTCTTGGGGTCCTCAGGGTGCAAACCAAGCCCATTTATTAGCCTATCAAACTTATTAGGGTAATTTGGAAGATATTGGCTTGTACATGTATCTCGTGATACATAAGGTCAAATTAAGTGTAATTTATTGTAGATATTCTGTATCTAAGCGGATTCGCATGTATCTGAAATACATAGACAAACCTCGTTCACCTCCCTCATATCTCGCTCGTATACATGTGAATCACACCATATACATATATCTGGTGTGATTCACATGTATCTGAAGTATGTATAGACAAGTTTTGCTCGTCTCCCTCCTGTTCTCACTCGCCTCTCTCTCTATTTCAGTGTGTCTGGTAGCAAAAAAGAAACATGTATCTAGATAAATCTGATATGAAAATATTAATTAGTTCTTGAAAATTCATTAAAAAAAAAAAAGCCATTTTAAATGCAAAAACACAATGACAGTGTCATGGATTTCGATCTTAAACGTAAAATGGCGTAAAATTGCAGGAATTGCCAGAGCACAAAAGAGGAGATGCAGTGAGTAGCATGGTGTATGAAGCTAATGCTAGAGTTAGAGATCCAGTTTATGGATGTGTTGGAGCCATTTCATCTCTTCAACAACAAATTGATATGCTAAGAACCCAACTAGCCATGACCCAAGCTGAGGTTGTCCAATTGAGGCTAAGACAATCAACAAGCATTACTAATAGCCCACCAAATAGTGGGTCTCCCATTATGGGCTCACAGCCCAAAGGATATTACCATATGGATTTGGATGTAGACCAGTCCAACACCTTCAATGAGCCTATGTGGCCATATTAGATGAGTTTTGTTGTCTATTTAAACTTCAAAAATTATCTTGTGTCCTTTTGCCTCTATATATCTTTTTCTTATAAGAGCAAAGGTGATGAATTAGGTTGTTGTTTCGTAAGCTATGCTGCTCAGACTCCTCCAAAATGCGTGTCATATCCTCCTACACGGGTGTAACATCATTTTTGGAGAGCCTGAACAACTTAGTTTGTGAGTGTGTTAGAATGAAATCAAACCCTTCATTGGGTGTTAGGCCTTTTGGCGAAAAAAAAAAGTTTTATACCAGTATCATCTTTGTTCTTGTGTATATATATATGTAATAGGAAAATTTTGTGCTGTTTTTCCCCCCAATTTTGATTGAAGAAATTAAATTCCCTTTATATACTTTAACAACTAATGGTCCATAAAACTCTTATTTAACCATGTGATATCTGAAATTCATGTTAGAACTGCGGATATAGCCACGTACAATACTTACAATCTTTTAACACCATAATAAACAATCATCCATCACAATCAATGTTCTTTTCATGATATAAACAAGTTATATGAAATTAGACATTAGGATCAATGAGATCTCCATTCAAATACTCTCTGTAAGCAGCAACAGGCCAGATGAAGCCTCTCCAGACGAGCCTATTAGCCAACGGAACATCGATGATGATCTCTTTCATTGTTGGTTTCTTTTCATCTCTTACTGCAATCAAGTAACTCCTTCCTACCCATCCAATCCATCCAGCAATGTACAAGAAGAGGATCCCTGGTGTGATGAACTCACCCCAATGCCTCTGGTCACCACTCACTATCAAATGTGGCAGTCCATCCGATCCACATAACAGTCCCTGTTTACCGTAGTTGTCGAACCTGTAATGACAATAGTGAAGAGTGATTTCGTAAGTCAAATAATTGAATGACTTTTCTGAGATAATTACTACCTGCGTTTAGTTTTTTCAATAGTGGCATTGATAGCAAGTGCAGGGGCGCTATCAGGTGAGTAAAGCTTCAAAGAATTCTGAAGCTTCTTGATTTGTTGCTTCTCCCTTTTAGCAAACTGTTTTGAATCCTTGCAAGGTGTGAGACCTGAGATGTCAGCAGAAGCTGGAAGAACGGGTGCTGACAATAGAATAGAAGACAAAGCAAGCGCGGCAGAGAATGCCTTTAATGATGAAGAACTTTCCTCTGTTGAATTAGAAACAGGGGTCTGGTTTGAAGAACACACAATGGATGAAGTTCTTTGTTTTGTGGTAAATTGAGACCCAAATTTAGATGTTGAAATGGGTTTTGAAAGGTTTGAAGGAATAGTAAGAGACATGGTATTTTTTTTTCTGTTTATTTTTTCAAGAAAACAGAGGAAGATTGGAGTGTGGAGAGTGAAAGGATGTTTTTTTTAGGATTTGTGGAAGAAAGGATTGGTGATCAAGAGAGAGGATAAGGAGTTGAAAGGGAGCTTAGGTGGAGGGATTTGATTGGCTAATAGAGTTGGATTTTATGAGTTTTGGGGATTTTTTGATCCATCTGTGGAAGAGCAAGAACCAGGGATTTAACAGATACATATATTATGATTTGGGTCAGGTACACTTTTGCCACACTATTTTGGGATAGTTTTTAATTTTTGTCCCTCAGCGATAAATAATTCTTTGCAATGTATAAGTTTATTATTTCGTATCAGAATATCTCCGTACATGACTTCAGTTTTTGAATCTACTAGATATAAGTTCTATTTATTTGAAGAGCAGAATTAATAGATCAATCTATTTGAAAGACAAAACGTACAATTTTATGGTTTTGAGATAACAGGCCATGCACTTCATGGCATATTTCCATATGGATTTAAATGTAAACTAGTCCAACAGCTTCAATGAGCCCGTGTGTTCGAATGAAATTTTGAATTTGCATATCTATGTGCACACCTTGATCTCTATGCTGGTAAAATTATGGTCATGAAGAAGCATACTGGATTACGGATTTATGTTTCCATTATTGAGCCAAGTAGTTAGGTGAATTGTAGGCCATTAACACATCAAGTTTTGACATAAATAAAATTCTCTGAATTTTCCAGTTCATTAGAGTGGGGCAAGTTATTGTCATGTAAAAGCTCTCCATGTAGCCAATGTCATCTTCAATGATACTTGTTTATGCCATATTTTTTGTATCCATAGACCATACTTGATTCTTCTCTTCTTTCGTTTTACGACCTCTCATGTGTTTTTTGGTGCTACCATATGCACTTTGGACTGTGGTTGGAAACTCCGCTTCTGTCATATCACACTGTAAAGTACCTCGTTAAGCAGGATATTTCGGTTTTGCACCATCAGGTAAATGACTACAGAGGACAAAGGGGCTCAATTTTTGTTCAGTTGGCATACTAGAGTGATATATTCCCTTTCCAGGCTTACATACAATATTTTCCTTAACATAGAGGTTTATCTCACACAGGACTCTCCAGCCGCGTGACAGACCTGAATTATGCACACCACTACTTGTAGATCTGATTACTTTTCATGGATCATTCATGGGAAATATTTTTGGGGTGGCATTGATAGTTGCGCATAGAAACCTCTATCTACTGTGATACAATATTGAAATGAACGACTCAACTTATGAAATCGTGAGAACAATTTCCAAACAAAAAGAACATTAAACAGCGAACTAGCCATTATCTAGCAACACATGGTATAGAGAATTCACAATCTTTCATCGATATAAACAAGTGAAAGTATAATTCCACGAGTCTCCAACAAGAGAAATTTAAACAAGGGTAATCAAAAATTAGACATTAGGGTCAATAAGGTCTCCGTTCAAGTACTCTCTGTAAGCAGCAACAGGCCAGATGAAGCCTCTCCACACGAGTCTATTAGCCAATGGAACATCGATGATGATCTCCTTCATTGTTGGTTTCTTTTCATCTCTTACGGCAATCAAGTAACTCCTTCCTACCCATCCAATCCATCCAGCAATGTACAAGAAGAGGATCCCTGGAGTGATGAACTCACCCCAGTGCCTCTGGTCACCACTCACTATCAAATGCGGTAGTCCATCTGATCCACACAACAGTCCTTGCTTTCCATAGTTGTCAAACCTGCAATGACATTAGTTGAGTGACGTTCTGATGAATTAAACTTCTACTAACTCGAGTATCAAAGGGTATATGTATGTTCTATTTTTGGATGTTTCCTAGTCTAATCTCAACGGCATATGCAAGGAAAAGTTGAACAATCTGCTTTTCTTTGATAAGCAAATGTTAATGTACAGTATGCTTTCATTCGTAAAAGAATACTTTTAGCTCTTCTTCTACTCCTACTCCTAACATGGGTTCGAACGAATTCAGTAGCTTTTCCATAGACCCTATATTTGTACTATGTATTTTAATTTGTAAACCCCTAACAAAATTGATTAGAATCCCAAAATCTTAATATAAGTACTCTCTATCTAGTACACAATAAAAAAATGATCAACTAGGGAAAATAGGCAAATAAGAAGTAAAACTTTTTGAAAATTGTGAAGAAAGATACTGAAGGCAAACCTGCGTTTAGTTTTCTCAATAGTGGCATTGATAGCAAGTGCAGGGGCGCTATCAGGTGCATAAAGTTTCAAAGAATTTTGAAGCTTCTTGATCTGTTGCTTCTCCCTTTTAGCAAACTGTTTTGAGTCCTTGCAAGGTGTAAGCCCAGAGATGTCAGCAGAAGCTGGAAGAACTGGTGCTGACAAAAGAATAGAAGACAAAGCAAGTGCTGCAGAGAATGCCTTTAATGAAGAAGAACTTTCCTCTGTTGAATTAGAAACAGGGGTTTGGTTTGAACAACACACAATGGCTGAAGTTCTTTGTTTTGTGGTAAATTGAGACCCAAATTTAGATGTGGAAATGGGTTTTGAAAGGCTTGTTGGAATAGTTAGAGACATGGTGTTCTTTCTAAGAGTATTATTTTTCAAGAAAATGATACAAAGAAGAAGAAGAAGGAAGAGATGGTTTTTAGAATTTGTGAGTGATCAAGGGAGAGGATAAGGAGCTGAAAAGGGAGCTTAGGTGGAGTGATTTCATTGGATAACAAAATTGGATTTTGTGAGTTTCAGAGATTTTATGAAATTTTTATCTATCTGTGGAACAACAACAACCACGGATTACAGATACTCATATTTTCGCGTGGCCACCACATAGGTAAAGAGAACTCTTGAATGAATAATTATTAATAATATATATATTAAACAAACATTTACTATTTTACACGATAATTAAGAAATTATTAGTGATAGTTTGATCAACTTTGTAATTAAGGGATCAATCACCATGCTCTGATGCCAATGAAAGATTTAATATTAATTTTTTTTCCATCAGAATTCTTTCAAATATTAGAAAGAAGCCATATTAATTGTAGGGGGAAATGAGAAAAAAATTAATTAAATTTAACCTAATTTAGTAAGTAATCAAGTAATATGAGATAATTATTTTTAGTAAGACAACCATCTAACATACAAAAGAGAGAGTATCTTTTATCAAGTTTTTCAAATATATAAATTTTATTTCGAGATTCTGTTAACAAGTTTAAATCTTGAAAGGTGGAAAAAATAACATATAATTGAAATGGAGCGTAGTACTTTTTACCTTTTGTGATTTTTATACGTGAATATCTCAGAAGGACATATTTAGAACTACTAACATTCATATATACTTTCATGTCCCAATTTATATGATTTATTTTGTTTTTTATTCAATTTTAAAAAAGAATGACACATTTCTATCTTTACTAACAATTTATTTTTAAAATGCTCATGTTATCTTTAAATAAATAATTTCTAGCTACATAAATATATTTGACTTATTTTAAACCACAAATTTCAAGTCTTTCTTCTTTTGTTTCTTAAATTTTGTGTCAAATTAAATGAACTCATAAAAATTGAGACGAAAGGTTCTAGCGATATTTGGAGAGAGAGGCGAGAGGACATACAAGTAATTGGAAAGCAAAACCCAATCTAAAAAAAGACTGCAAGACATTTGCATTATATAGTTATTAAGAAAGTCAAAACAAGAAGTTCAGAACTAGTAGAGTTAAAGAATAATCAAAGAAAAAGTAGTTTAGGTTAAGCAGAATTAAGTCATAAAGACACTTTGTTCACAAAAAGGAGGTCAGCAGACAAGCAATTATCTCTAACATATTATTACAATATGCAGAGTTGTTGGTCTCTAAAAGAATCTGATATGCAAATGATCCTTGAAGAACTAAAAGAAACAAATAAATGGAACCAAAAAACAAAAAGTATAGCAGAGTCAAATGCCACAGAATTTGATCACTAAAAGAGTGGTGCTGTGTTCAATTGCCTATCACACTGAGAACGAATGAGGTCAGAAATGTTTGCTAGGATGGTGGAGGAGGTAAGTTGCTTGACTTGTTGGG